TATATATACATTTTAAAAGTTTCAGCAAATACAAATTTGCTTGCGTAAAAAAAATTCCCCAACTTTCTAACCCAAGACATCCTGCTGTCTATCCTTTAACCAATGGGTCACAGGGATTCAATTGGAAATTAAAATCTATTTGTTTAAATTAATGCTTTTTTGCACATGCGCGGAACAACACTAATTCTCTACTGACTGAGAAGAACAGAAATCAATATGATACGCCCTCATATTGAGGATTTTAAATGATTCGCCGAAACGATACCCCCTGCTTGCAGTTCATTCTGCTTAGAAAAAGAATCCGATTAAAATATTAATTCATTTCGGGAAAATAGCATGGTGATTTATGACGTCATTATTGTTATCAAACATGAAAGCATTTTAAACCTTATTGACTAGAACTTTTGCGGCTAGATATGCTACAGGCGTGTGCATATCAATTGCAACTAAGACCAAACGATGAAATATTCACGACGCAGTTTCAAGGAGGACATTCCCGTCACCTATGTAAACGAATAATATTGATTCAGATGGTTCCATAAAATGTTAACAATCATCAACTTTATGTCGGTCTTCAAAATTATTTATCTCAATGTACAAAATCGCCGGCAAATCCGATAGTACTGGAAATATCAATGACAAAATTAAATAGTTTTCTTGGACGAGGCTGTTGAAATTCAAGAGTCACGATCGTGACCGCATAGATTTTTTGCCATGTTCATGCTCGGATGATTTTCTAGCGAGGCGGAACCGAGGGAAACGCAATTTATCTTCTAATTTTGCCATATTGCAATTCGCTAACAGACGCTTTGGCGCAATTGCAAAATCCTAAGAGACCGATACTAAGACATGGTTTGCATAGCAAGTTATCAACAACTCTTCTTGACGTCTTTCTATGGATTCTTTATTCCCATTTATCATGAATTTTCATAATTTTGAAAATATTGTAACCGAGATGAAGTCAATAAAATGTTCATTCACCAAGCATATTATTTTCGTGAATCTTCAATCTGTTTTATGGTAATCCAACAAAATGAATTTACGACGGACCATCCACAACGAGTCATCGTCGAGTGCTAACGGGTTTGCGTCGTGATATATCTTTTCGTAATTACCACCGATAAATGATATTAATAAACCAATAGACTGGACAAATGATTTCGGAAATTGAATTTTTGTGCGTACTGAGATTTAAAAATTGCAGTACACATGAAAATATGGGAAAATAATTTCGAGTTTTTACTTTTAAAGATCATAGTTATTTCGTTGTGATACTTAACATAATTATAACAATGTTAATTAACAGATTTAATCTTGCGATACTTTGATGATTTCATTAGTATCTGATTTGATAAGAAGTATCGATTAAGTTCAACTTTCAAAAGAGCTACATCTTTCGACAAAGGGCCGCATTTACTTGAAGCATTATCGAATCATGAATCGGGGATATCTGTCAAGTGGAAATCACAGACAAAATCATTTTTCAACACACGTAACACTCGTGCGTTTCCACTGTGTTATTATTTAACAGCTATAGAGTTTTTCTTTCTTACCCATTAAAGTTAAAGTTTTCTAACGCGTTTACATAACTTTTGCGTTTTCCTTCTTTACGTATGTTGCCCATTTTTCAATCCCCATCTAACTTAAAATGGATTCTAACGCGATTCAATGTAACTAATGTGTTTGTATTATTCTATTTATTTTTTACATTATGAAGTTAAGTATGTTCTGACGCGTTAACGTTTGCATCTTTTGTTTTTAAGCGTATGTTTATGAGACATATTTATTCATTTCTTTCCTACATATCGAGGTAAAATTCACTTTAATGGTAATTGCGACACTAAAAGTAAAATAATGTGTCAGCAGTGATGAGTTATGAGAAATAAGTAAAGTTTTGTTTCATTCCCAAAAATGGAAAGTTAACCTTGATACATCAAATAAAAAATCAATTATTTTTACCGATTTATATTCAGTGAGTCTTTGATTTCCTTAGGCGAGGGAAAGAGGTGATAACGCCTTGAATAATATTTGGGATTGTCTTTTTTTTTCTAGTTAAGGGGCTTTATTCAATTATTTTCTTATAATTGTAAGATTTAGCAAACAGGCCTACTATATTTTAAATTTGTTTACGTTATGACGTATATTAATTTAATCATAATTTTAATTATTTACCTGCAGATACTTCTTACATTGAATGCATAAGTTATATTATACTACATATTTGATTACCTAATATATTAAAGAAGAGTAGGCGAATACATTGATATAATAACTTTAAATGTACAATTATAAAAATACTATATTCTTTAATCATTCAATATATCCATACTGTATTTTTAATTATTTTAAGTGTATAAATTATCATAACGTTTTATAATTACTTCAAATATATACGTAAAGTACCGAACATACTATTTTAATAGGCTTACTTGAAGAATATACATATAAATATTTTGATATTAAAAGAAAACAAATAATTATTATAGGTGCAGTACAATTTTCTGTAATATTATTAGCTGTAAATATAAAGTATTTTCGTATCGGTGAGAGAAAATAACAATATACCCAACAAAATATTTATGTAATAGGCCTACATTCATTTAGTAAGTTTGAATCATCTAAATAAAATCACAAATTATTCGAAGCGAAGCCTCGAGTTGACCATGACACAATACCGAAAGCTCCTTATACACTTTGACAAAAACCATTTACATTCCATTCATTTTGTTGACTGTTGTTATTTTTTTCAGACGAATGTTTCCAACATTTCGGGTGAGCATTTCGGGAATGGACCCGCACGCTAAGTACATTCTGCTCATGGATATTGTCCCAGTAGACGACACGCGGTATAAATACCACAATTCAGAATGGGTGGTGACTGGTAAAGCCGAGCCCCACATGCCCGGCCGGCTGTACATCCACCCAGACTCACCTGCTACCGGTGCCGTCTGGATGAAACAAGTTGTGGCCTTCAGTAAGATGAAGCTTACAAATAATAACTTGGACCAACATGGACATGTAAGTTTGGTTTTTTTTTTCTTTCATTTGTGATTTTTTTACCGCTCTGTTTTTATTTATACATTACAACATTGTTGACGATTGTTCATGACGGTATCCGGTACATTTATATCTCGGGTGTTTTTTTTTTCTATCTTGTTATCGATTATTTGTATTAGTCGATGTTTGAGTCAATGTCGTCTGCCCCGTGATAACAATAGTACTTCGTTCAAATCCAATGAGAGTCACCCATAGTTACACTAATGATGTCACACCTGCCTGTTTAAGTATGCAAATGAAATGGTTTTCCTCAAGTCCCTTGATTATACGGCATTCTAATTGTCTAATACGTTCATTCAAATCTAATTATTAATATGTTATATCCAGATATTACCATTGCTCTGCTCATCAATGTAAATAAGTTTCATGAACTTCAACTAAGTTCCCGAAATCAATTCAATTTCTCTACTATCGTGCAAAGTTAGAGATATTGTCGTCAAACTACATGGCATCTGATTTCCCATGACGACCAACCAGTCGCAGTTCCCGCCATTTTTCGCCCCTCACCGAATCGAAGTGAAACAGATTAAATGTTGAAAAGCGCTATGCTATTGCAGCTGCCATCAGTTGTAGGCAGCCCAGAAAGATTTTCATCGAAGAAAAGTGTCTGTCTCTTAATTGGAGAATTAAAATCTATCTTCTGCATGGCAATCAGAACCCGGATGACTGACTTCAAAGACACCGCCGCGGATTGATATCGAAGATGTAATTGATGCTCTTCAAGTACTCTAACGATCTATTTTTACAGGAGACTTTAAGAAAAGGTTGAGCAGACGATCAATATGTTATTATCAACCTTGAACTCACACCTTCACTAAGATAATTCGAACACTGTCAATCCTCCAAGATAATTTTCAATTTTTTATTCAAATGTTAATAAAATTGCAAGGAGAGGAAGTAATGAAAAAAGAAATTCAATTGAACGGACGATGAATACTAATTTGAAATTAATACATTAAAACCATTTCAAATTTACTTGATGAGTAAAAATTGATGATCTTTCATCGCATTAAGATGTTTGACATTAGAAAAAGTAACGCAATTGCTATTCAATGTAAATGTAAAGTTTATTTTAATTAAAAATGTCATTGAACGTGCCACGTTAACTACAAATATAACCTTTGATGTATATTTCTGCACACTCAAAAAGTTACATGTGTGAATGCATGCACAAATCAACCATATTGCATCAACTTCATAATTGTTAAAGATCTAAGTTCATTAGGTTGCCAAAGTTAATTGCATTAATCCCGTTGTTACAAGACACCCACCCAACCACACATAATTACATCTGTGGTATTAAATCTTCCAAATTCATGTTTTCTTATTGATTTTTACGTTGTGTTGTTTTTTACTGCGACCCTACGGGCATGCGCACTGTTCATTTATGATCTCAATTACCATGCATTGTTTATATTATTTGCTATTCAATTGATTACCAAGTTGATCTTTGTTTTCTCAATTTAGGGATTACTTACAAATCCTGTTAGAATCAACTTGAGTTATTGTTCACATCAAGCTGACACAACTACCTCGTAGTTTAATCTGATGTTCATTTACAGCGTTTCTTCCTCCGATTGCATAGCTAATATTAGGCACGAGGCCCAATCATTAACTATGCACTAAAAAAGTACCAAATTTGAGGTCACGTGATACAAAATGACCACAAGTATTGGGATAGATGCATGAATAAACTAAATGATTGAAAAAGATGAATGAATTAATACCGTATGAACAAACGAATAAATAAAAACGAATAGAAGAAAAACGATTAAACCAATTGATGAATGAATAACTTAATGAATGAATGAAGAAATGAATGATGAATGAAGAAATGAATGATGAATGAATAATGATTGATTTAATAATTGAATGAAAGTCAAATGGATAAAATGAGATAAAACTAAGTTCATTCTATTATTATATTAAATTTGGCTCTCTCCTCGATTTTTGCCTAATTTATTTGGCAGTCGCTTTTTTTTTTAAAGACATTATTAGGAATGATTTCACGACTGATTAGCACCGTTCTTGTAGTCATTGTGTTCCTGCTACACAGCAAACCGCAGATAAACAGCTTTCGGCCATTTTACAATCAGTTACCTCTACAATATTTACAAATAACCACTGTGGGTTGCACTTTTGTTGGGGTTGCAGCTATGAAAGTACAGTAATTGCACATAGTTGAAAACTACAGGAAGCATGTTTTCATTACATTTATTATTACATAGTGTCATCATCATCATTAAATTATAATAAAGTTGATTAAGTCGGCTCAAATTCCTAATTTTTCTTATTAGAATTATACTGAACATCAGCATATCTCCATTATTGATACCTTACATCGATTTTCCGTTCCTATATGTCGAAGTTACGTAATAAAATACAAACTTATAAATATAAATAGAAGGGTATCTGGGAACGATGTTGGCATGACGACACTGAAGGGATCATCGACGCGCTTGAGCATCCACTTCATTTCCAGATCTTGTTCCAGAAAGACTGGTGTCCAGAGAGAGAGAGAGAGAGAGAGGGGGGGGGGGGGGATATATATATATATATAGAGAGAGAGAGAGGGAGAGAGAGAGGGGGGGGGGGGAGATATTTCCCTAATTTCCGCTGGATTTCTCAAGGGGATTGGTTTTGCCAAAATGATTCCACCATACACTTACTGTATCCAAGCATGCTGATGGAATAAAACAGAAGGGAGAGTAGTGTCCACGGGATTCAACTCCATTCTTACATTGTAGGCTCCAGGGGAGGATTTAGGATGGGGCCGGCCCGGCCCGCCCCCACCCCTCTTTTTTTTTTTGTGATAAATAAAAAAAAAAAAAAAAAAAAAGAGAAAGAAAAGGAAAAAAATGATAGCCCAGAACGCCTCAAATTTTATTTTCGAGCGTCTAGAACACAAACATTTCGAAACCCTAGGATGGTCTTGTCTCGTCGGCCCAACTTTCGGCCCCCCTTTTCGCCGCCCCCTCCCTTTTGGACATCTCTGGATCCGACCTTTGGCTCTCCAACGGAGGTTGATGTCAGGAAAAAGATTCCATCCCGTACACCACTGTGTTCCAGAGGGAGATTGTTGACTGTCAACAGAGAGATTCCCAGCTAACCTCTACTCTATCTCAAGAATGAACATTAGTGTCATCAAGAAGATTCCATACCACTCTTAGACTGAATGTGTCCAAACATGATGAAGGAATAAAACATGGAGATTGGTGTCCACTAAGGAATTCAACTAAATTCATACATTGTATTCAATGGACATTGGTGTCAGTAGAGAGATTCCCACCTGACCTCCTCTGTCTCAAGAACATTGGTGTCAGGGGCGGATCCAGAGATGTCAAAAAAAGGGGGGGGAGGAAGCGGAAGTTGGGAAAGTTGGGCAGATCGAGACAACACTGTCCTGGAGGGGGACGGGGGCAGGTCCCCGCGAAATTTTTGTGTTCTAGACGCCTGAAAATAACATTTTGAGGCGTTCTGGGCTATCGGGTTTTTTTTCTTGTTCTTTCTTTTTTTCTTTTTTTCCCCTTTGTTTACCTCCCAAATGTCTTCCTAAATCCGCCCCTGCGTGTCAAAAAAGGGATTCCAAAACACTCGTAGACTGGATCCAATCACAATGAAGGAATAAAACAGAGAGGAGACCGGTGTTCACCAAGGAATTCAATTCCTTCATTGTATCCAATGGAGATTGGTGTCAGCCAGCAGAAAAATTCCATCCCATTTACAGCACTGTATTCCAGGGAGATCAGTGTCAACAGAGAGGTTGCCTGTCGTCTTTAAATGAACCTTGAAGGTAACAAACGCGTATCCAAGTTATTTCTCATAAAAATCATAAAGTAGGAAATTGCCATTTCGATCCAATCCTCCCAGTAATAGTAAACTCGTAAATCACAACTACTAAAATTACTTTTACAATGAATTGAAGGAAAATTGAATTAATAATTAGCGATGTAATGAGGAAAAAATAGGATAGCAGAAATCATAATGTTTGCCGATGTATGTGCTTTGAAAATTACGACTTCACGTTTCAAAGGATAAGTTAACTACGGCGGCGAGATTCTGAGGCTCTCGCAGTTGGATGTCCTATTAGTATTGTGGTCTCATTATTTCCACCGTTTTTTGTCAGAAAAGGATAAAAAAAATAACTTATCTAAGAAACGAACAGTATTTTATACCATTATGGCGGAAGTGCTTCTAATTTGGTTTTTTCTAAATCTTAACGCATATCTCTGACAATTTTCACGCGCTTGTAAGTAATTTTACTCAGAAGTAAGATTGGTGATATTACGAAGATAATGCATACTGTTATTACGTGGTTCTAGTGGATAGAAAATTTAATTACGTAATTTATTTACGTAGCAGTCAAAAATATACTGTGACATACTTTTGGAAAACGAAATTCATCCTGTTAAAAAAAAATATTGAAAATCCTGATCGCTCCCGTTTGTGATAAGCTGAAAGTGCATAGTCAGTCCCATTCACATATGCACCCAATGACCATTAGAAAATAACTGGTCAAACGATTGGAAAACATGAAGTCTGTGGAGCACTTTAGTGACGTTGGATGGACGTTTTATCTTTCCATCCATCTCACAACGCTTTAACGCACGCCCCTGAAATTTATGAGGGCGGGATTTACTTCGTCCCGATCAACAAAACCCTCTAGACATTGTATAGCATTTGCATACATTCAAAAGGTGAATAGGGATATTTAACAGCAAAAAAAAAAACAAAACAAAAAAACAAACAAACAAAAACAAATCAAAGTAGATTCTAAAACTTATTGATTACATAATGCACTTTGGATAGCTTACTCTGTGATTTCGTGCTTCACGATTCATTCCCCTAACTCAGCAGACTACCCCTTATTCAGGGGCGGATCCAGAGATGTCCAAAAGAGGGGGGCCGATAGGGGGAGGGGCGAAATTTGGGCCGATCGAGACAACAATGACCTAGGGGGTCTGGGGGCATGCCCCCGCGATTTTTTTGTGTTCTAGACGCCCGAAAATAAAATTTGAGGCGTTGTGGGCTATCATTTTTTTCTTTTTCTTTCTTTTTTTCTTTTTTCTTTTTTTTTACCGGCCCCCCTAAATCCGCCCCTGTTATTAGTTTCTCTAGCTCAAATTTTGTGAAGCTTGAATACGCAATTCGTCATTCGACTCATTGAGGTACACGATACCCCAAGGTGTTTATCGAGAGACGAATCTTCAGCGTCACCCCGAACCTCTCATGAAACGTCAATCAGTCAATAAGCAGGTATGCATATCTGCAATTTTTCAAACTCACTCATTGACATCAAAATCTGTATGAATTTAGACCACTGCAAATATAAGAAGATTGTTTGACCGAAATAAATTGATGAATGATGACACTAATAAATGTTTATGAAGTATTCTTGTGCCATTACACAATATTTGTCCTTGGACCTGATAATTTGTAGTACTGTACCTCGCTTTTTATCCAAATTCAATGATTGTTTCTGTATACAGTGTAAATTTAAGTAATTAAAGCAGTTTAGTGTCAAAAAGAACAGTTTGATCTTTGAATATGGGGGTACATAGTAGTACTTTAATTTTTAATCGAAATTATTGATTGTTTGTAGGAATACATTACAAAATAAATTTGGAATGATGAAAATATGTGTATCTTCAGTACAATAGGCTCGTCTATTTATAGATAATAATAATGTAGTTGATGATTTATATATACTTTCTTTCTTTGTTTGTTTAATATTTATTGCCCTCACTAAACATAATACATATTCACAATCAAAACAAAATCACAAAGAAGTATATGGATTGAAAGCAAGAGGATATCTCTATAAATTCACTACTTGTAATAAAAAAAAATTATAAAATATCTAAAGACTACATTGTAAACAAGATATATTAATAATTTTTGTCCTGAACATCTGGTTCACTTTCTGTTCCTTTCAGTCAACCAAGATCTAGTACTTCATGTTGCCAGTTTTTGAATTTTAATCTGTAGCTACCAATGTTGTTCTTCCTTAGATCATCTTAAATTCGATGCACAAGTATCAACCTCGTTTCCATGTTGTTCAAGCGAATGACGTATTCAGTCTGCGTTGGAATTCCTTTTCCACTTACGCGTTTCCTGAAACCACCTTCATTGCCGTCACAGCCTACCAGAATGAAAAGGTAAACTGCAAACGGTTAATTAATATTCTGTGCGTTGTATTTTTCAATTATTATCAAGGCTTCGTCGGCACACATACGCGTAGTACTATATGTAACATTGGTTTTAAAACATTACAGTTTTGTTAATAATACTTTTCATAATCTCATATACTATTACATTACATTACATTACATGTAATTTCCTTACGCCTACTTTATTTTATGTAATATTGTCAGTACAAAAAAGGGGCAAACATACACGACACAATACGGTAACTCGTTTTCGTAGTCCAAGAATAGACAGTCAAAATAATTATAAAAAAATTATCATAATATATCTATATGCACATATATGCATATATACATATGTATACAAGTATATGCTTAATTGTGTATAGAGGAATGATTCTATCAAGGGTTTTCAATCAACCGAAGTCTGTAGGTTTGTAAAACACATTCCATCTTCAGTTTAATCAATCTATATATTTCATAGCGTAACCGTACTTAGTACAGCAAAGGTACATACATATTTTATGTCATTTTGACACAAGTGCGAAAATTAATTTCGTTGCATAACTGACGCCTTTTATTTATTTATTCATTGCTCATAAATGTAGGCTATCGTTAAAGGTCTATGTTTTCCAATGGGATTGAAATAAATAAATACAAGCTCATGTTAACTTAATTTTATTGTCTAAACTAACTAATCAGGTCGCACAGCAATTACAATTACAGGGTAGAAACCCTCTGTCCCGAGTAGCAAATAATAATAATTATAACAGTATTTAATATAAATAATAATAATTATTATAAAATTGTATTGATAATAGTAATAATGATGACATAGTGATGATGAGGATTGACGACGACGATGATGCTTATCATTACCATTACCTTCATCATCATTATCAGCAAAATACTTTAATATCAGCATCATAATTATCATCATTATCAATATTATTATCATTGTTAATATTATTGTTATTATTCAAATGTATAAGCATGGAGGTATATATACCTCCATGGTATAAGCAAGGTGGCTTTAACAGTAAGTTAATGTGAAGACGCCCTCTAACAATACAAAAAAAGAAGATTTAGAGTTTACCTCTTCACGTACTACATTTCAATTTAGGCCTATATATATACCTTTATATTATATTAAATTATTTTTATTTATATTTATTATATTTATATTTGTATTTACCGTTCTTTGATGATATATATATATATATATATATATGGGCTGTATATATATATTGCCTTGGTTTGGCTCTGTAATCATATTAGTGGTCGTGGGACTGGTTTGGGCCCTACCTAAGCTGGTCAAACGTTTCGTTTGGGTCTATACCCCAGCTGCACTGATGAGGCCTAGAAGGCCGAAACGGATCCGTCTGCAGATATTGGGATTCCTTCCAGTGGATACTTAGTTTATTTTGTCATTCTGATCGGATTTTCTCTATACATTTGATTAAATCAAATGCATTATTATATAATTATTTTATATACGGTACTTGTAAATAGCAATACCAAGAATAAGAATAATTAGCTGCATCGATATCTTGTCATTATACGCTGCTATTTAATTTCAACTTTTGAAGTTGTTATGTAATGAAATTCCCATCTGTATCTAATTGTTAAATGTATAAGCATCATTACCGATCATGGGATTTATGTTAAACCCTTGTTTCTCTCACAATCAATTATTATTCGGCTCCCTATCACACAGTACACAGTATTAACGCTCATATAACAAAATGTTATACTTGTTAGGCTTATTATGTATAACCATAAATGGTATTAAATTTACACCATTTATGCTTACTTTGGATATAATATTATACATCGTGTAAGAGGTGGCTGATTTATCAAGTTAGTATAAGCCTATACATTTGATTAAATCAAATGCATTATTATATAATTATTTTATATACGGTACTTGTAAATAGCAATACCAAGAATAAGAATAATTAGCTGCATCGATATCTTGTCATTATACGCTGCTATTTAATTTCAACTTTTGAAGTTGTTATGTAATGAAATTCCCATCTGTATCTAATTGTTAAATGTATAAGCATCATTACCGATCGTGGGATTATGTTAAACCCTTGTTTCTCTCACAATCAATTATTATTCGGCTCCCTATCACAACAGTACACAGTATTAACGCTCACAATAGAGTCTTATTAATCCTTTAGTGATGTAAAATTAGGTAATTAACAACACTTAATTAATGGTCGCCTCGTATATTGAGAAAACAATGTAATAACCACTGGGAGTTCTGACTAATAGTTGAGTTCACAATAAACTCATTAAGGGTCCGTAGATACTGAGCTTTCACGGCTATGAAGGCTATAGCCCCGGCCCTTTGCAATCTCCCACACACGTCTATTGTCGAGTAATGAACTCTCTACGGATTTTCCCCCGATTATCAGTAACCAGATTTTAGAGTAGAGACTAGAACACATTGTTCACTAATTAACTTGACTAATAATAGGCCTATGTTTCTCTGTAATTACAAACATGGTTTTATTTTATTTTTTTTAATTTGTATTCAAGAGTAGCTTATATTTGTCAATAATCCTCAAGCCGTCCCTTTCCTGTGCCAAAATAGCTCATAAGGCCTATATAAGCCCATAATATATGTTTATATAATAACAATAATAGCAATAAATATTAATAGGCCTAATATACCGCAGTACTGAATACTGAAGGCTTATGGCAGAAACGGTTGTGAACTTTATTAATAAAACCTCTCACAAACCGTACTTTGTTCCCAAGTTTTACTTGATATGCGATGCAGCTACTTCTTATTTCCTTGATAGGCATAGGCCTATATAACATTATATAATAATAGTGTGGAATTTATATACGTATATACACTGTTGTGCAGCCCTATACTATCACATCTAAATGTGTAGTCATATCTTAAACCAGAAATTCGCTATTTATATTTTGCTTATAGATAACACAGCTGAAAATTGATCATAATCCGTTTGCGAAAGGCTTCAGAGACAACGGCATGGCTAGAAGGTAAGTTGATTTCTTTGATGGTAACCGGCATTACTAGGCGACACACATAAAATTAACATAACACGTTCGATGTTCAACTTGTGCGATTTCTAGAGTATGGTGCCAGTTCTGTTGGTTGATCATTACCCGATAGACGATATAGCGTACAATCCCACAGCTCAGCTGAAGGACGCTAAAGGGAAAGTTGCTAATTCCAAGTCAAGTAATTAAACGAATTTATCAAATCTGTCGGTGAATTAGAATTATTGTTTAGTTCAATCGACAGTCAAGAAGTGGGAGAACTTACAAATTTTCATCAAACTCGTCGATTTTACAAAATTCATAAATTATGATTGATTTACTGAGTGGCTTATTAAAATTAACTCTCTCATATCGCGTAGGTACCCATCTTACACTGGCCTAACTTCCGTCATGAAATGATAGTCTTATATGAATCAATGTTTTCTAACTTCAGTATTATGACAATGTATTACAATTTTGATTACTATGCAATACCCGATATGGTGTTTCAAATAATAATTTGATTAACATTTCTACCTTTAATTTCATTTAATGTACCGGTACTTAGAGAGTGAAAGTTATGTTATTTATCTGCATTGTCGTTTTTTTTAATTATTTTAATGTAACTAAGTAATGTACGCGTCAATATACCGTAAGTTAAAATGCATTATATTAGGATAGAATTATAATTTTCATAATGTTTAGTATCCATAATAAACAAACAATAGACCTAAGTCTACAGGTATCCTTTAATTGTACATCTAATATATATGTGGTACCGGTATTCATTTCAAAATCATAATTAGCCTAAACGATGTTAATCAAACATGTAGCATGTAGGTATAATAACAATATAATGTACTAAATATTCTAGCCAAGAAATATATCGTCGCTATTATATATCAATAACAATATATAACGACACCGTTGAGTATTAAAATAGAAATTGTGTCAACGGCAAATTATGAAACATAAATGTATGATGATGTTATACATTTTTTTTAAAGTAATGAACCCAGAAGGAAAACGAGAAACAATCATTCGTTTTTAATCGTCAGTAATTTCGAAATAATATCATGTTCTGTTCTTGTTATAGGGAGTCGCGGTTAGCAATGAAACGATCATCATCTACAATTACTGACAGTGGAGACGAGTCCAAAGGTAAGATACATAAATTTATCTTAAATACCAAACTCACTCTTCGTAATCGTCTTTGTATTATCTTCTCTGTTTTGTCGACAAGCACAGGAGCAATTATGCATATTTGCGCCACGCTCGAGCGGGTGTGAACTACCCGTGAAATAAAATCACTCAGCGCTACGACGTTCTAAGTCGTGGTTCTCTCTTGTGGCTATTTTCTTGTAGGTTTTAGTACTCTTTATAATCACCTCTACTCGATGACAGATAACATATTCAATCTAGCCCATATGTGTATGGTATTTATATGCTCATGAAATGTATATATGTATATATATATATATATATATATATATATATATATATTGAACATATTTATTATTATGTCATAAACATTTGTATATTTGAGTATATCTTACATAATAGTGTAACTATCATCATGTCTTTTTTTTAATAGTCAATGGAAAATAAAAGTAATAAATTCTGGAAACCGGTAAAATTATTTTCAATTTAGATGTCATATAGTTTATTGCTTAGTTCTTGTTTGTGGAAAATTCACAGGGGAAGGTGCCGGTTTAGTCACGTGCGCTTGTTCTTAATTCGTTCTAGTTGTTAATGAGGTTTAAATGAGTCCAATTGGCGTCATTTACAAGGCTAAATCGTATGTGATTACAGACCGGAACGCAGCATCTGTGCGGTCCATGCACATAATGAACATTAAATAGACACTCGGAGAAGTCACAATCGGCCGCCTCAAGATCTATTTACCTGGATGTCTCCAGAGTATCCGTTATAACAACATTGGATTACCAAGAGAACTAAAGTTATTAATGACCATCGACTCATGACAAAATTATGCAAATTCGATAGAATTTGTAAATAACTTGTAAAATATTTATCGGTTGAAGGTGTGAAGTTTTTCGAGATGGCATATTCCAATTTTCTTGTTGTGCGCAGTCTGACTGTAAAAACGGTTCGGATCTAATCAAGATCGAAATGATCTGTCAGAAAACAAGACCTAATTTGTGTTGTATGTGACGATTGGGTTCCGAAGTCAGCAAGTGAAGTGTTAACGGAGTATTTCGGATACATCTTGAAACCGATAGTTCTACTCTTGATGGACTCATCATTTCTGGTGACAGCTTCTAGTAATAATGCAGTCACCTTTGTAATTAATCGATTGAATTTGTCGCGGGATATTTTTGTCCTTTACAATTGTGTCTAAATTTAAACAAAAACATCCATGATTCACATTAATTTTCAATTTGTTTAATCAAACTGTTGTAAATGTCAATGGTTTAGTAGCCATGTGGCAATGGTTTCTGCTCGCCAGTCCATTTTCGTATCTTTAAAACTCGCTTAACCCATGTCTGGCCATAAAACATCTGATTGGGCAGTGGAGGGTAGTACAGTTTTTTTGTTTTTTTTTGCACCGGGTTGAGGTGGGACCTATGGTAAGAGCGAGATGGTTGGTGCTTTATGAACCTGTTGTGGGGGGGGGGTCCTCCCCTGGGAGCTCCAGACTGCTTGCTGTGTGTAAGTTGGGGAGGGGGATTGGATGAGGCGACCGACACTGTATAGGCTAGCGTATACCCAGCCTTTATAAGAGGATATAATTACTAACATTATTATTATTTTTTTTTTTTGTAGACATGACTGACGAGGAACAGATTTCAACTGATAATATCATCATAAAGATTAAGAAAGAGAAATTAAATGAATCAAAGTCGTCAATAAACTCACTGGATGATAACCAGAATTCAACAAATTCAATTACAACGGACTTAAACCAAAACGGTGTGCGGAGTCCTCTCGCAGACGATTCTGTGTTATTCGGCTGTTCAGGACTCGACGCAGACGAGACGCCGATGCGTAATAACGCTTCGAATCCGGACAATATTCGGTCAAGGATTGACGGCAGAGATGAAGAGAACGACGACACGATCGGAAAAGGAAATTCGTCAATTAATCAAACAATGCAAAAAGCAAGGCATAGTATGTCAAGCCCAAGTGGGATGGTGAACACTTCAATGGGACAATGTGATTATAATCAGCAAGGCAATGGGGACGGCGGTGTCGTTGACCAGATCTTTTCACAGGATTCCGGCCTAGAGGACGAATCGTCGCTAAGCTCGGTTCAACCAGCGACGGCGTTGGCGGTTGCCCAAATGGCGAAAGAACCACATGAATGTAACTCTCGCCTGTCCATGTCCAGTCTTCGACAAAATCAGTGTATGATGCAAGGAATGAATCAGGCTTTCCAATCGTCCTCCGGAATGTATATGCAATGTTCTGAGCCTAGGCAACATGTTATGCCCTCATCCTTGTACAGTCACGGTAGCTACTCGCACACACCGCCGTCGTCTTTCACACATATGCACATGCAGCCAGCACACGCGAGACACATGCAGCCGAGTATACCGACTTGTTCGACGATGTCGTCGTTACATGCGTCACAATTCTTGCACGGGGGACACACTACTATGGCAGACCAGATGAACATGAACTTGCACATGGCGGGGCACTTCCCCGGACATGGTGTTAAATTTCCTGTTTAAAAAAAAACACGACGAAAAAAACAAAAACAAAAACAAAAAAACCCCGCAGATATTCCGTAAGCTAAAAGACAGCGTTTGTTAATAAATTGTACAGTTCTTTTGACATTGGTCGGTATTAATTGAAAAAAAGAAGACACGAGTGTTATGTATACAGTTAAAAAAGACTGAAAGAAATGCATTTGAGAAAAACAAATATGATGAATGAAACAATATAAAAGAAATATCTTGTGTTTGTGGACATTACTGAATGTCTGCGATTTGATGTGAACATAGGCTTACATTGAAATCAGAATGTCTACGATGTGACGTGAACATATATTACATTAAAATCATTTTATTATTGAATGCTCCAACAAAAATTACACTCCAGTCTTTTTACATTACCCATAGATGCAGCATAATGCACACTAAGTGTTTGAGTAGATTAAAAGGTGGGTATTCTAAAAAAACAGATTGATCGCCAACTCGCCATGAGATTTTTCGATTCATTTCTTACGGTAATAATGTTAATTGAGACATTCACATACAATTCTGAATCGCTTGGCGAGTTTTCCCCCAAATTCGTTCATTATATATTTAGTGCATGCGTGATAATATAATTTAAAATACTATAATACTTCGTCAATGCGTTTAAAATTAAAGTCATTGTTGTCAATGCGTTAAAATTCAACTGGTTGTTAACGAAGTCACCAATTCATTTTGGCTTATAAAAAAAGCCTGTAGTCTGTATGTTCCATAGTCGTTGCAATATAAACAGGTCACTTGTGTGGCTTAATCTTGTTTTTAGTAAATGTTTATAAGCATATATTAAACTAAACATTTATTTGGAACATGTTTGTAAATACTCTCAGGGGTTTTGGACGTATTGATAGCTTTTCATCGCCATTTTTATATGATATACAACTCATTTATTTTATCTCTTTTTTTTTCAAATTATTCAAATGTTTGCGATATAATTTGCCATTTGTGAATTGTGTAAATTGAGTCTTGCTATGTACTATAAACTATTCTATTCCATGGTAACACGTTAATTTATGATGGGTGCTTCGGACTGGAATGGATTTGCAGCTATTGAGATATTTCTTCTCCATGCATAACCTACAGGGTTACCTATACTCACATACCATGAGGCACCGTGAGGTGTACTAATTCAGAATTGAGTGTTTATTTAACGGAGGCCTACACCTAATCGGGATACATGAGTATGAGATTTTGTCTTTCTATGTTGTTTTTAAATGTGAAGTCATTACATTGTCAAAGTTATTATAAAATATTGAAGAACACGTTTTGAGGTTGTCTATTAAATAGACAAATTATAAAATTGAAATCATACCAGTGGGCTGTCCAAACTTGATTTCTTGGGGGTGGGCTATAGTTAGCTGTTTTGAGACTGAATTTAGATCCTTGAAATGGATCGCATATCGCATATAATGATAATTTTGACTCTGTACAGTGATATATAAAATGTGCAATTTATATTACCTGGTATGGTTAAGGTTGACATGAAGTTTCGTCATTAAGATATTTGTATTCCAGTAAATTATGACTTGGTATAAAGAAGCTGGAAATTAATGAAATAAAAATGTCAAGAAATTATTACATTATAGTTGGTGTGTTGTTGTTTCGAGGTGTGCATTGACTAGGCCTAGGCCGATATAACAGAATGACCCCGATGATATAATTAATGACCCACAATGAAATCAACAATCAACTTAGGCCTACATAATCATTCTTATCCAGCTTAAGAAATATATTATAACATGGACCTATTCATACTTATTAATAGGTCCATGATTATACACACACACGCATATACCACTGTATCTATTTATCTATCTGTCTATCTATCTATCTATCTATCTATCTATCTATCTATCTATCTATCTATCTATCTATCTATCTATCTATCTATCTATCTATCTATCTATCTATCTATCTATCTATCTATCTATCTATCTATCTATCTATCTATCTATCTATCTATCTATCTATCTATCTATCTATCTATCTATCTATCTATCTATCTATCTATCTATCTATCTATCTATCTATCTATCTATCTATCTATCTATCTATCTATCTATCTATCTATCTATCTATCTATCTATCTATCTATCTATCTATCTATCTATCTATCTATCTATCTATCTATCTATCTATCTATCTATCTATCTATCTATCTATCTATCTATCTATCTATCTATCTATCTATCTATCTATCTATCTATCTATCTATCTATCTATCTATCTATCTATCTATCTATCTATCTATCTATCTATCTATCTATCTATCTATCTATCTATCTATCTATCTATCTATCTATCTATCTATCTATCTATCTATCTATCTATCTATCTATCTATCTATCTATCTATCTATCTATCTATCTATCTATCTATCTATCTATCTATCTATCTATCTATCTATCTATCTATCTATCTATCTATCTATCTATCTATC